CCCGCTGGCAGGCAGGCGCTTGGTCTCCACCAACTTTGTCCTCTCAGACAGCCGTTGTTCAGTGCTGCCGCTCTCTCATGCGCCGCGAAGCTCAGTTGCCGTTCTCCAGCCAGTCCATTGCTGCTGCCGCCCGCGCTGCCCACAATGAGCAGAGAGATACGGCAGCAGCGAACCCGCCCCGACGTGCCAAGTTCCAGCGCGCCCATTCAGCCAAGCTCCGCGACCAGTCTTTCAAGTCTGCTTTCACGGTCGCGCTTTCTAAGCGCCTCATTGCCAGGGGCCTCCAAGCGCCCATGGCTCCTGGAGAACTACAGAAACGCTGGGAGGCATTGACCGACGCTCTCAAGCAATTGCGCCCGAGCTGGCGCTGGGCCGCATTCAAGAACCTCGGCGGCGGTTGGACGACCGCGGCTAGAATGCATATTCTACAGCAGCGCAAGTGCGCGTCCCGATGCACGGACGCACCGGACTCTTTCCCGTACTGCCTCTCTTGCCCCGCCCTCTCGAGGCGAGGCCCCTCTGGCCCCCCGCCCCGCCCCGCCCCCCCCCCCGCCCCACCCCCCTCATCCAATCAACACTGTCGGCATGGGGGCTGGGGCCCGCCGCCGCATATGCAGCCAGCATACCCCTCCAGCCCTATGTCGTTGCCGTCTACGGTCTCAAGGGTCGCTCGGGCATTCCACGTTTACAATAAGATGAAATGCGCTGCCAGCGCGCGCGGCGGCCGTCTCGCAAGCAGACCTTGTCGCCTCACGCCGCGCTGCTCTCGCATTACTGTGCAAGTAGAAGAGCTTGGCCAGAGCACAGCGGCTGGGACTACCTCGTTGCCCTCTTCTTGCTTGTGCTCGGCCAGCCTGCTTTCTTCTTTTCTCGGGGTGCCCATGCTCCTCCTCCTCCTCCTCCTCCTCCTCCTCGTCTCCTCCTCCTCCTCCTCCTCCTCGTCCTCCTCCTCCTCCTTCCTGTCCCCCCTCATCGTCCCCCTCCTTGCTCTCCCTCATGTTCCCCCTCTTCCTCCTCCTCCTCCTCATCATCATCTTTCTCCTCCTCTTCTCCCTCGGCTCTCCGACCTCCCAGCTCCCTCCCTCTGCTCGCGCGGCCGAGCTGCAAGCCTAATGCCGAGGGACAGACTATGTAGACGGCACCGAACCGTTGGCGACAACGCGGCGGCGTTGGCCACCAGAGCACATGCGTGCGCGTGCACCAGCCCAGCTTGGAAGGATGCAGGGCCGTGGCGCCGACTGAGGCGCGGCGACCTCGCGTGCAGTGCGGGGCTGAAGGCGAAGGCGCACCGGGACGTGCCCGCCGCGGGTGGGTGGCGGATCGTCCTCAACTCCTGGGCTGGTAATGCGGCCAACGAGGCACTCAACCTGTGGCCCAGGTGGGCCCAAGCCGAAACCACCCTGGATGATGCCTGTGCCGAGGCGCGGCAGGGCCTGGCGACTCTGGGGCGGGTGCTGGCGAGCGGGCCTGCTCCCAAGGTGGAGTGGGCTCACCAGCCCCCGCGTGCGCGGCCCCCGATGTTTGCGCGTCCGTGCTTTCTGTGGCGGATGGCCGCTGGCGGTGCGTTCGGTGCTTGCACGGTTTCTTGAGGTGGAAGGCTGGGGTGGCCCCAGAGTGTGGGCGCGAGGCGCCCAACAACTGGAGGAGCCTGCGAGAGTTCGCGGGCTCACACGTCCTGTTGGGAGCGGTGATTGGCCCAACGGGCTGCTCACCTGAGCAGGGCGAATGTTTGCTGTACTGCGCGGCGCGCAATATGCTCAGCTGCACCCCGTCGGCCTGGCCAAGAGCTGCCCAGCAAAGCAACCTGGTTTTGTTTATGACAAGATGGGCAAAGAGCGGCGGAGCCGCTTCGAGCGCGGCCTCCACCGTAGGACTGGGAGGAAGGAGGTCGTCTTTGAGTGCCCGGCCCTCAAGGACCTTGGTTTCCTCACTCACAGGAGTGAGCGCAGTGCTTACTGCACAAAGTCAGATGGAACGGTCGGGGTCCACAGGTGGAGATCCTCCTCCTCCTCCTCCTCCTCCTCCTCCTCCTCCTCCTCCTCCTCCTCCTCCCCCTCCTCCCCCTCCCCCTCCTCTTCATCCTCCTCCTTCCCCGCCTCCTCCTGCTGCCTCCTCCTCCTCCTCCTCCTCCTCCTCCTCCTCCTCCGCTCCCCCTCCTCTTCTCCTCTCCCCTCCCTCTCCTCCTCCTCCTCTCCTCCTCCTCCTCTCCTCCTCCTCCTCCTCCTCCTCCTCCTCGCTCCTCCTCGCTCCTCGCTCCTCCCGCTCCTCCTCGCTCCTCTCGCTCCTCCTCCTCCTCCTCCTCCTCCTCGCTCTCCTCGCTCCTCCTCGCTCATCCTCCTCCTCCTCCTCCTCCTCCCTCCTCCCTCCTCCTCCTCCTCCTCCTCCTCCTCCTCCTCCTCCTCCTCCTCCTCCTCCGCCTCCTCCTCCTCCTCCTCCTCCTCCTCCTCCTCCTCCTCCTCCTCCTCCTCGCTGCCCCCGTCTCCGCGGCGCAGACCCCGCCCGCCCACATTGCAGGACGCGGGCTGGCGCCCGGCACCCTCCCCGCCGCTCCCCCCCCCCGGGCCTTCCCCGTCTTCGCCCTCGGCCTCGCAGAATTCGACAATGCATCAGGAGGGAGATCTACAGTGGAGACCCATGCCAAGAAACACCCTGCTTGCCTCCATTGGGTTTCTTAGATTTCGATGGTTCTGCCATGGAAGGCGTGACTTTCCCACACCAAACAATGATGGACGTTCTGGGGTCTCAGGGGTGGGTTTCTTGTGGAAGGTTTCTTGTGGTCGGGTTCCTACTGTATTGCTTGCAGTGCTTTCTTCGACGCAGTGTGCATTCCCGTCGGCAGATCTGCCACGACGCAAGGATGTCAGGGCTCCTTCTCCGCTGAAGGCCTCGACCTCTCCCGCCCTCCCACCTCGATCCTTCTCCTGCTCCAGCGAAAACCTCGATCCTCGATCCCTCCTCCTGCGATGCTCGTAGACATAGCCCTCGACGCTCCGCGCGGATTTCTCGGAGGGTCCAGCGCGGATCCAATAAATCTGCGCAGACCTCCAACAGTTTATGCTTATACAAATTTTTCATCTGTATATCTCAGTTGTTGTCAACATCGCTGGGGGGGGTTCTTTTCCGCCGGTTTCCACTTTTCGCCTTTGACTTGGCCAAAACGTTCTAGACACGACACCCTGGCATGTGGACGTCCGGCGTGTGATGTGCCAAGGGGCCCCCCCATCCTCTCGTCGTGAAGAATGTCGGCGGTGGCCCGGCGGAGTCCCTCCTTTTCCTTCCGTGAGGGAGCTGCCGTGTTCCATCCTCCCTGCATCGAGCTCATGGGAAACAGATCTTTGCGTCGCCCACCTGGCTCACTCAGGCCATTTTGGCGTGGCCCGCAGGGCCCGGGACGGGATGCCATCCCCGGCCTTGGCACCAGTGCCGTCGGGGCACCGCTCCGGCCCGTCCTCCCTGGCCACCCCGGCCGCCGCCCGCGCGCGGATGGCGGCCTCTGCGGAGGTCGGAGGGGCTCGGGGTAGTTATGTACACACGTCCCCAGACACGCTCGAGTCGTGGACAAACTCAGGACGGGAGGTTTTTGGCAGTTTTCGGCCCTCAGGGGCCCTTACTGGGCCGCAGGACCGTCAAACAATTACTCAGGACGAAAAGCGGGCCCCTGGGAAAGGGTCGGCCAAGAGGGGGGTGATCACTACGGCGGGGGGGGATTTCATGGCGGGGGCCACGATATTCCCCCAGATTGCACGGCGCCATGGCGTCTCTTCTTCTTTCAGTGCGTTCCCTGGTCCCCCCCTCGTCTGCGCACATGCCTCGGGCCATGATTTGAGATTGCCCCTCTTGGACGCCCCCCTCTTGGACGCCCCCGATATACACCACGTCGTTCGGTCGGCCGAGGAGCCAAGGAGTTCGTCGAGGGAATTCGATTAGACGCCTTCGGTAAAAAATCACTGGAGCCGTGTGTACCCTCGTAGTTCCGCGTTCAGAGCACACTAGCGTTGACTAGCGAGCGCTGGGTGATCGATGAGGTGGCGCCGATTTAGAGTCGACTAGCATCGATTAGCGTCGATTCGCAGGAGCCAGTAAGACGGTATGGGAGGCTCCAGTGAGATGTTGCAGAAGACGCTCCAGCGTTCCACAGGTAGGGAGGCGGGGCCGTCTATACACCGAGCTCCTTGGCCGACAAAGCGACGCAGTGTGAACATCGAACTCCTCCCAGGCCTCCCTCTGCCCGGGCTTTGACATCTTCTCCAGCTTCTCCGGCAGCGGAGGCATGCATACCGCCCAAATGGGGCCCGAGCAGATAGGGTCGGAGGATCGCGCCGCATCGCCGTTGCATCGGCGATGCCGCTCGATTCAGAACCTGATGTTCTGCATCCCGACGTCGCCGATGCATCGCCGATGCATCGGCGAGGCGGCGTGATCATTCGACCCCATCTACGGAAGGCACGTGTCGTGTAGAAGCGACTGCGACCCGAGCGTGGGCGTTCAAGGTTGACCGCCGCCGGAAGCCTAGAATCGGCCAACATGGAACGATCTGGCGATCGGAAGGCCACCGATCGTTGAACGTCGAACGATCCACGAGGTGTTAGAAACCAACTCCCCAGAGGTCCGATGTCCTGCTTTATCAATGCGGCGTCCCTGGAAGTCTCGATGGGCTTTCCATCCCGAGTCGTTTTTTGACGATCCAGGGGCCCGGCGAGGTCCTCCAGAGGCAACACGTAGAAGAAAAACGTTTTGATGTTCCAATATCCTGCTATGCGACGTCGCGAAAAACTGGCAGCATCGTCAAAATCACGATCGGAGCCGTAGACTCCATCTTTCTGCGTCATTTTTGAGCGGGGTTCCTCTGTGAGGGTCTCGGGGCCCGAATCCCGACGAAGACGCCCGTTGCGAGCAGATTGCGTCGCCAGGACCTCAGGGCACGTTGGAAGCCTGGGTCCAAAGTCGTCACGGCACGAACCTGTCGCGATATCGGGCCCCGCGTGTGGGCGGCCCCCGAGGCAGCCGCGGCGAGTGGGGGGCGGGGCCCGCGGCCGCCGTGACGCCCCGGGGCGCCCGCCTGGCCCCGGGCGCGCAGAGCACGCGCGAGCTGTCGCTGCCGGAGTGGTCCGGCTGCGGGGTGGCGCGCCCGCTGGGCCGCTGCGGGGTCCCCCATGGGGAGGAAGAGATAGGAGATGCTGGCGCTGCAGTCCGGTCGCAGCATCTGGTTCAGTACAGGGCTGAACCTAAACGGTGTTTTTCGTTTTTGTTTTGTTTTCGTTTCCCCTCTATTTGTCTTCAATCCACCTCTACCGCAAAACGAAGCCGAAACGAAAACAACCCACGAAATCGCCAAAACACCGTTTAGGTCCAGCCCTGGTTCAGAAACCTCCTCCCGAAAAGCTGGGCTAGCGTTTCCAAGCAGACTTGCCAGAAAAAGCTTGCACGATATCTTACGCACAGTCGTCTCTTCGGCGTGAACAAGTATCGGCGAGCGAGAGATGGGGGGAATTGAGAAGGAGAAGGCCATCTCAGAAGGCGGCGGGACTTCTCAGAAGCCCTCGCACCTTCTGAGAAGTTTTTGTTGCGTCTTCGGGCAAAGCCTAGAAGACTTCTCAGCAGGCCGGGGGACTTCCGAGCCTTCCGAGGAGGCTCGCCCCTTCTCACTTCCCACCGGGGCTCGCCGCCGAAGGCAAGCCGTGCCAGATGCCTCGAAACCTCGGGATTGTGACCCAGGTTTTTGTTTAATGACAATGTTTTGATCATGATGTCGGCTATACTTTCACAACGGGCGCTCCTGCTGGGCTGCTCTGGAGCCTTGGACCTTCACCGGTCGATGCGGCTCGGAAGCTGCAGCTGCAAGCATTGGGTCCAGGGCTCCCGTGTCCTGACTTCTGATGGCGCTGTTGCATTCTGTGCGCGGCGTCGGATTTCAGGGTGTACCCATACTGCTGCGCGTTCCGGGGAGGAAAAGGTACTCGATGCCGTCACCCGTTCCTCGTTTTCGCTTTCTTGGGCCTCTGGAAGGCCCTCGCTGCTACAGCTGGATTCGCCTTGGAAACACGGCCTGAGTGCGGCCGGAGAGGTGTCGGTGTCTTCTTGCTTGAAAACAAATCCATGAGATCCGACGGCCTGCGAGCCGCGGCCCCCGACCCAGACCAGGGGGGGGGGAACGAACCTGTGCCGGCCGTTCCTGGCCGCCCTCGCGCTGCTGGTCCACGCCGCAGCGCAGAGAGGAAGAGAAACCAGGGCAGGAGGAGGACAAGGAGCGGGCGAAACAACGGGCGGGGGACTGCCCCCAGTCGGGCCCGCCCCCACGCACTGCTGGGGGACGGCTCGCAGGGCACGGCTCGGCCGACGGGCCACGCAGTGCGGCCAAACCGCTTCCAGGCGAGCACGCCCAGGGAGGCGGAGGAGGAGGTGGAGGAGGAGGTTGAGGACGAGGCGGAGGAGGAGGAGGAGGAAGCGGAGGAGGAGGAGGCGGAGGAGGAGGAGGAGGAGGAGGCGGAGGAGGAGGAGGAGGAGGAGGAAGAGGAACACACACGGCGATCATACACAATCATGCAGGAAGAGACGAAACGGCGGCGGCGAAGGCAGCAGCAGGCAAGCGCACGCGATGGGGGCGGGCGGGTGGCGGGGGGGGGCGAGGGTCGTCGGCGGCAATCGGGGGGTCGTCGTGGACCTTCGTGGGTTGGGGGGTCGTCGTGGCTCGTCGGGTGGGACGATTGGCCGACGTGGGTCAGGGCCGTGCGGGGAGGGGGGAGGGGGCGGGGGCCCAGCCGGCGCCGACGCGCGGTCGCCGCCGTGGCCGCTGCAAGGCGCGCAGCAGCCGCCCCCGTCGACGGCTGCAGCCGCCGCAGCACCGCCCGCGCGTTCTCCCGACGAAGGTAGATTGAGAGTCGCTGGGCGTGCCGGTCCGCCACTAGGGCGGCTTCCTTTGGAATCGGGCCCCTCCAGAACTGCTGGGGAGCAGGCGTCTGGTCGCTGTGCCAAGCTGTTGGGCCGGGGGCGCCACCCTGATCCAAAGTGCCGGTTGCCTCCCCCAGTCGGACGGGGCTAGGTCGAGGATCATCTGTTCCAGAGTGTTCCGGAACGCTCGCAGATCGTCCCAGAACGCTCACAGAAAGCCGCGGCGCCCGAGACATCCTCCAGAACCGCTGGATCGCAGCGATTCTCCGTTCATTTCGGCGGCGACCGAAGGGCGGAAGTCAGAAGGGGCGGGCCTTCTCAAGAGGCGCGGCAGTCCCACGGCCTTATGAGACATGTCCTAAGCCTTCCCCGAAAACAGAGACAGTTGATCAGAAAGTGCTAGGGCCTCTGAAAAGTCCCGCCGCCTTCTGAGAAGGCTTTAACTTTGTCACTTCCCCCCTTCGCTCGCGGCCGATGACTCCCCCTCATTATTCTGGAGCTTCCGACCCAATCGCCGTCCGCGTTTTTTCGATATGATCTGCGTGGGCCCCCGTGAATTGCGAAAACCTCCATGAGTTTCAATGAATTCGTCCGCACCTTTCGCGGAGGTCAGAAGGTATGGAAGGTGGAGGTGGAAGGGGTATCGTCACCCGATGCTATTCTCGTCCTGGCTTCGTTTTGGCCTCCAAGGTCCTGTCCCTGCCGGCTGGCGCAGCAGCCCCGGGGCTGTGCTCTCCGCCGGCGTCGCCAGTGCCGCCCCCGCAGCCCTACCCGCAGGCCCCGCGCAGCGCGCCCGCCCCCGCGGCGGAGCTGCCGCCCTCCTCGCCCGCGCTGCTGTTGCGGAGCCCAGCGTGTCCCTGCGCGGGGGCGGTTTCGGCCTTCGTGTTGGTGACCGGAGAGCGAAGACAACTCGGGGTTCCCAGCCTTGGGGGGGGGCAATTTGTCATTCGCCCTTTTTTAAATACTCAGACATGACCGCGTCGTGAAGAATCACGACGGGGGCCTTCGCTGGGCCTTGGGACGTTCAAAAAACGTTTCAGTACGAAGATCAGGTCCCGGGAAACGGGTTTTGACTTCCAGGGACCGCGTGTTGAACAAATCAGGACGTCGCTTTTTGTGTATATATATATATGTGTATATACATATATATATATATATATATATATATATGTGGCGCACGGTCGGTCGAACATAGCTTCGTATTCCCCGCGGGTGTCGGTGCGCGGGGGCGGTCGGGAACCAGGAGACGGGGGTCGATGCAAAGGGGGGTCAGCCAGAGCGCCGGCTTTTGCAGGATCCTGCGCAGCCGTGGTCGCATGGACCCGGGTTTGGGCGCAGGATCTTGCAGGATCTTGCAGTTGGTCGCAGGGTATTGCAAAGCCCAGCCGACCCGGGTCTGGATCGACCCGGGTCAGTCGATGCCCGAGGTGGTTTCTGCTTGAGTGTTGGTGACCCGAGAACAAGGACGACTCTGGGCTCCCAGCCTTTGGGGGGGCCAATCTTTCGCTCGCTCATACGCCTAGCGCGCGATAGGTCGCATATAGCTTTCTATTTCCTGCGAGTGTTGCTTTGCATTGGAGACGTGCGGCCCGATATCGCTCCGCCGCCTCCGCGCCCCTCCTCACCCCATCTCGCGTCACTTCGCCTCACCTCGCCTCACATCATCTCGCCTCGCCTCTCTCCGCCTCCTCTACGCACCTTGCCTTATTAGTACCTTGGTTTTGTCCTCCTCGTCCTTGTCCTCGTTCTCCTGTTCCTCGTCGTCGTCGTCGTTGCCGTCCTCTTCGCCTTCCTGAAGCTGAAGAACATGTCGCATAATCATAGGTGTTCTTGGTTCGGCGGCGAACTCCCCTCTCTGGCGCGCGGAGTGCTCAGGAGGCGGCGCCGGGGGAGAGGACGAGGAGGAGGAGGGGGGGGAGAGGGAGAAGGGGAGGACGGAGGAGGGAGGAGGAGGAGGCGGAATAAGCGGATGGAGAAGAGGAGAGTCGGAGGGGGAAGAAGAGGAGGAGGAGGGTTAGCAGAATGCCAGATGCCTTTTGGATGCCTCTTGGAGTCTCCTCGAATGTCTCCTGAGAGCTTCTTGGAGGCCTCTTGGGGCGTCTGGGGGGCCTGGGCCTCTCGGCGGTCCCAGGGGTCTCTTGGAGCGTCTTGGGTGCCTCGGGGGAGCCTCCTGGGGCTTCTTTTGGGCCACTTGCGAGCCTCTTGGGCTTCTTGGGGGACACTCACTCACTCATTCACTCACTCACACGCCTCAGAATGAACTCGAATGCAAATGTCTCACATCAAACCATTAAAGGAATGTTTCCACACGCCTCACTCATGCAATTCAGGAGGAACTGCGATATAACTTGGCACTTCACGATTGCACCCGCGGCTCCCAGCGGCCGCGGGTGCAACGAGGAACATGAAATGTCATATGAATCACGGTGATCGGAAATGTAGGGAAGCACCAGACTGCTAGGATTTGAGCTCGCGGTGCTCTTGGAAACCTCCAGGGGACCTCTTGGAGGCGTCTTGGGGCCTCCTCGGCGCCTCCGGGCTCTCTTGAGGAACCTTTTTGAGCCTCGAGGGCCCTCTTGGGGCCATCTTGGAGGACATCGGTCAAAGAAGAGGGGGTAGCCGAGTAGCCTTCCCCATCTGCAGCTCTTCGAAACGCCTCTTAGGATTCTCTTGAGGCGCTCTTGGGGCGCTGCTGGGCGCTCTGGGGGCCGTCTTTGAACCCGGTTGATGCTCCTTTCGAGTCCCGTTTTGGCCATCTTGGAGCCATCTTGAGGCCTCGGAAGGCCATCGGAGGCGAAACGGCGAGAAGGCAACAACCATGCATGTTTCACAGGGTTTTGACAGATCGTGGCCTCTTGGTGGCTTCCTCGGGGGTGCTCCAGGGCCACTCGGAGCCGTCTTGGGGCGATCTTGGACCATTCTGGAACTTGTTGGAAGCCATCATGAGTTATCGTGAGCCATCTTGGAGGTCATCTTGGGCTCTCAGAGGCCCTCTTTGAGTAATCTCGCGAACCCCCCCAACCAGATCCAGGGGTACGGGGTAGGGGAGGACGTCAAGACACCTCCCCGCCCGCAAGCCGTCTCGTTCACTCCCACCCGCGCTCCAAACACATCAGTAGCACCCGAGCTGCAGCATGTTCAGCGGTCGTCTTTGGATGGTCAGCTACTGGGAACCAGAAAAGGCCCCAGGTGCACGACGCTGGGGCGAGATGCGCCACGCGCGCCATGCGCGCCAGATGTGCCAGGCACCCCTGTGGCCCGAGCGTGCCAGCGTGCCAAGCACGCCTGGTGCGCCAGATGCGCCACGTGCTCCACGTGCGCCAAGTGTGCCGCATGTTCCAGCCGCGCCAGGTGTTCCACGATCGGGGCCGGCGCAGAGTGTGCCAGGTACGCCCTCGCACGTGACAGTACACATCGGGAAATAAGTCGGCCTCCTACCAGATTTGTTGACAACCAATGCGCAATCGCGGCGGGGTGGCCATCATGGTGTCTGGTGGGCCTGCACACAGCAGGCAGTTAGCCAGCACCCCCGCCGCCCTGGTCAAAACCAATTCAAAGGGATCGCGGGGTGGCCGCGCATGTTCTGGCTTTTGCAGCGATTTGACTTTGTATTGTTTTTGACAGAGATGGTGGCCCTGCGCGTAGCAGGCAATGCGTGGGCACCCCCGCCGTCCCTATCAACAACCAATGCAACGTGCTCGAGGGGGCCGCCGGTCATGACCCAAGACTTTGCTCCCAAGTGCACTTTACATTGTTTTTCGACTGGGGTGGTTTTGGGGGTAGTCATGTGTCCTGGTTGGCTGCCAGTCTGCCAGTCTCCTGGTGAAGGGGGCGCTTACTGATAGGGAACAGTGATGAAGACACTCCTACTAGGCGCAAACTGTTTGGCTCACTCCCACCCCCCTCCCAACACAAATGTAGCACCCGAGTCTCAGCATAATCAGTGGTCGTCTTTGGATGGGCAGCTACTGAGAACCAAAATAGACCCCAGGTGCGCGACGCTGGGGCGGGGTGCGCTACGTGTGCCAGGCGCGGCACGCGCTCCAGGTGCGCCAGCACCCCTGTGGCCCAATCTTGTCAGGCAAGCCTGGTTCACCAGATGCGCCACGTGCGCCAAGTGTGCCGCAAGAGCGTGCCAGGTGTGCCTGCGCACGTCAGGAAACATGTCGGCCCCCCCACCATTTTTGCCGAAAGCCACACAATCGCTGCGAGGTGGCCATCATGGTGTCTAGTGGGCCTGCACACAGCAGGCAGTAATCCAGCCCCCTCGCCGCCCTGGTCAACAACCAATGAGATATGATCGCGGGGTGCCCGCGCATAATTTAGATTTAGCGGTGGAGTGCAGTTTGCAGTATGTTTGACAGGGATGGTGGGCCTGCGCACAGCAGGCTATATGCTGGCATCCCCGCCGTCACTGTCAACAAAACAATGCAAGGTCCTCGCAGTGCCCCCGAACATGACTCAAGATTTACCCGCACAATGCGCTTTGCATGGTTTTGTGACAGGGTTGGCAGGGGGGGACGCATTGTTTTGGTTTTATCGCCAATAAGCGATAAGGGGAGCGGGGGGGATGGGGGGCATGTCAATAAGGGGCCATCGTGAACCCTTCTCCGAAGGGGGAAGGGGGTTGGAGGAGGAAGCTCTTTAGACCACTCAAGACCTAAGGGGCTGGTTGGATTTCACGACGTCCCCGGGCTCCCATGGAAGTTGATGTGCTTCCCGCCAAGTCTGACATCGGCAGGAAAATGGGCCCCATCGATTCCTTCCAGCTCGATTTCTTGACGTACGCACACATTGTATACGTTTAGGAACTTTTGGTTAGCGTGTCGCTCCGCTGGTTCTTGCCCACCACGCTTCGGCGCGACACGCTATCCACGTCTGGGTCCGCGAGCGTCAACTTCCCAAGCCTTTCCCGACCTCCCGCCCCACGGAGCGGAGTGACACGCCATCCGCTCGCAGGGCACCGCGTGTCGCAGGGGCCGCCGACCGCATGCTCGTGCCGTGCTTTCCCAGACACCCGCTGTCTTGGCTTTCTCCAGTGCGGGGCCCCCGGAGCTCTGGACCTGCTCCCCGGGGCCGGCTTGGCGCCCCGAGCCGATTCTTGACGGTCCCAGGGCCGGGCGAGGGCCCCACTGCAGGAGGCCGACGACTGTGCAGAGCCTCCGCCTCGCGGTTCTCGCGACTTCGGCGGTCTGGGCTCCCACCCCCCCCCCGCAGCTGCGCTCAAGTCGGGCGTGTCCCTCCACAGGAGGCATGTTCAAACTAAGCCAACAAAAATAGCCCGGGGACGATTTGTCCCAAACTATGTTTGAGCATTGTTGGGATATTGCTGGCCATCCCCAGACACCTGACGTCTCGATTTCTTCGAGACACGGCCCCCCGACCTCCCGGCTTCTTCCCCGGGACCGGTTCTTCATCCCGAATCGTTTTTTGACGGTCCCGAGGCCCGGTGAGGGCCTCGAGAGGCCGAACATCTGGCAGAACTTCCTCCTCGATTTTTTTTCGAGACGCCCGATATGTCTGGGTCTCTTATCTTCTTCGTCCCAACAAGCCCCCTGTGCGAAGGATTGCAAACAAAAAACGAAGGATTGCAAAAAAACGAAGGATTGCAAAAAACAAACCGAAGGATTGCAACAAAAACCGAAGGATTGCCAAAAACGAAGGATTGCAAAACAAACTAAGGGTTTTTTTTGCAATCCTTCGGTTTGTTTGCAATCCTTCGAGGCGAGGCCCGACCTAAAGGTGGGCGCCCCGCCGGCCGCCTGGCCGCCCCTCGCCTGCGCTCCCGGCCGCCCCGACGGCGCTCCCGCCGCTGGCCCCGCGGGGCCTCCTGGGCCCCGCGGGGCCTCCGAGGGCGCCGGCGGGGCCCGCGCCTCGGCGGAGCCCGCGCGCGGCCGCGCGGCGGCGCCGCGGGCCGCCGAGGCGGCTGCCGAGCCACTGGTGCTGGGCCTGTTTTCCAACCACCACCATAGGTAGGAAAGGGAGGGGGTCCTCCTCCTCCTCCTCCTCCTCCTCCTCCTCCTCCTCCTCCTCCTCCTCCTCCTCCTCCTTTCCTCCTCCTTCCCCCCCTCCAACTTATGGTGGTGGTGGTGGTGGAAAACAGGCCCATCAACTGGCGGTGCGGGCACAGCTAAGCATCAGAGCCCCGAATCATCAGGGGTAACTCGGGTCAGGGCCAACTCGGGTTCCTTGTTCGGGATTCCAAACCCGATTGATCCCGGACCCGAGCTTCCCCGGAGAACTCGGGCGTCCAGAGCCCCAAAATCATCAGGGGTAACTCGGGTCAGGGCTAACTCGGGTTCGTTTTTCGGGAACCCAAACCCGAGTTACCCCGGACCCGAGTTACCCCGGATAACTCGGGCGCCCAAAGCAGGAGCGAGCAAGAGGACGCACGCTGAAGTCGGGCGCGTCCCTCCACGGGGGGGATGTGCCAGAACGGAGGAAACATCGGGTGGGGACGATTTTGGGATTACGTGTTTCACTGTTTGGGTGAGCTGTTTTGGAATGTTGTTGGCTTACATGTTGTACCTTTCACCCACGATCCGCCTGTAGGAAGACATGCCCGACCTAAACGTACACGTACGTGAATCCACGTTGGTTTCAAGAGGGCGCACTGCGCGAATGTTTGTATCACGCAGCCGGTCTCGCGGTTTGGAGGGCCGTGCTCATGTACATGGTTGGGCGCGCACGTCCAGTGTAGGCTCCCCAAACAAAAAACAATAACCCCGACCATGAGTGGATGTTCTGGAGGGCCTGAGATCCGGGCGTTGCATTTTTGTCACAACGGGCGTTGTTGCTCAGTTGCGGGCCCCAGGACCACCACAGATCGATCCGACTAGAAAAATGACGCGCGAAAATAGGGTCTATAGGGCTCCCGTCGCGTTTTTTCGAGATGCTGCATTTGTTCGCAAAGTCGGATCTCAGGGTGGCGCTTCGGGGGAGAACCAACCGACCTCGACATGGACACTTTGGTTTTGCTTGTGACCGATTTGGCCGTCCTGGGGCGCCACCTCGACCAACCAGCACGAAGCAGGCTTTGGTGTGCTGACGACTGTCGGCATGCGCAGGACATCCCCCAGGACGTGTTCTTGATGTGGCTGTGGTCGCTTGCCATACATGCGACGTCCAGACTTTGTTCAAGACGCGGTCCCCTGAAAGCCCCGACATTTTCACCGGGGCTGGCTTTTCATCCTGAGTCGTTCTTTGACGGCCCTCAGACCTGGCGAGGGCCCCCCTGGGGGCCAATAGTGGCCCAATACCTTCCGCTGTGATTTTTTAGCGCTGAAATCTGGCGCTGCCAAAAAAATACAACATCTCAGACAAATCACGCCCGGAGCCCCAGACCCCATGCATCTTTCTGCGTCAATTTCCGAGCCGGATCCAGCTATGAGGGTCCCACGGGCCCGACATGAAGCGAAAACGCTTGTTGATTGCAGCGCCAGGATCTCAGGGTACAGTCAAGACGCTGGAATAAGGACCGCTTTGGGCTCAGGAGGGGCTCGGGTTTCGGGGCCGTTCCTTAGACTTCGGTCGTGGAAAGTGTTTGTTGCCTAGGCCCGCCGTGGCCAGAGAAAACCCTTCGTTACTTAGTGTGAGTTCCTCATGGTAGTGCGACGACTGCACGCCCGCGATCACGCTTGGGTTGCTGCCCCCGAAGGCGGGGCAGCCGCCAGGGCCGGCGGCGCAGCCTCGCGGCGCCGCCGCGCCAGGAGAGCCGGGGCTGCTGCCCGGCAGCGCCGCCTCGGCACCAGGCCTCGGCGAGCGCGCGGGGGGCGTGGCAGCACGCGGCGCGGCGGAGTCGCCCGGCCCGGGCGACGGCGACGACGACGACGACGACGACGACGACGACGACGACGACGACGACGACGACGACGGCAACGACTACGACTACGACGACGACGCGGCGCGCGGCGCGGCGGGCTCGCCAGGCCCCGGCGAGCTCGCGGAGGGCGTGGCGGCGCGCGGCGCGGCGGAGTCGCTGGGCCCCGGCGGGCGAGAGGGGGGCGTGGCGGCGCGCGGCGCGGCGGGGTCGCTGGGCCTCGACGAGCGCGCGGAGGCTGCTGGGCGGCGCTCCTCCCAGAGGTCTCTGGCGATGTGGTTTGTACAGCCCCAGACCTCCAACGTCTCGAGAAGCTCGAGGCGGAGGTTTGTTCGCAAGTTTCGGTCTCATGGGGGCCCTCGCCCAGCCCCACGACAGTCAAAAAACGACTCAGGACGCAAAGTCGGCCCCGGGGAACGGGCGCCCAGAGCTCCGGGGGCCGCGCATTGAGAAAGCCAAGACATGGGGCGCCTGGGACTGGCGGGGTTTCTCTCGACTTCGGCCTCTTGGTGGCCGCTTTCAGAGCTCAAGGGCTGTGTAAAAGCGGGCGAAGACTTACCCCTGGGGGCAGCGGCCGGAACCTTTGGAGCCGCGAACGGAAACAAATCAGATCGGCGGATGACAGGGTTCGGCCTCCAGCGCAGCCGGCGCGGGCGCAGAGGCGGAAGGCTCCAGGTTATTGCCAGAAGTGTTTTTGGCACAACATGTCCCCAGGATTTCTGGGAAGGTTCCCACGGCCTCCAGGGCACCCCTCACGAGGCCCAGAGGGCCCAGGGGTCTCCAAAGAGTCAGTTTTTCTGTTTTTGGGAGGGAGGGGGGCGTGGAGAGGCCCGAAAAGACATGTGAGCTTCACGCATGCTGGGCCTCACTTGTGCGCCTTTTCGGCCCAGCGCTGTTCGAAATGGCGGCGGGGCGAATTCCGTGCAAGTAAGCTTGCCAGAATCTACACCTGTTAGCCAGCGTGGCCCTAAACAAGGTGTTCTAGCATACTATGTTGCGCAATGTATGCAATCTCTATGGTCCACTACAGGTGTATGCATGTTAATGAATAGTATACGTACGTTTGTTTGTATGTGTATGTATACACACCCCTTAGTCAAATCACAGGTACCAGCCTAGTTTAGACGACACTTTGTTTTACCGAATACAGTTTTATGGAGACTGGGCAAGGTTCGTAAGTATATGTTCCCAGAGCGGTGCTGATCTTATTTTGCTGTTGTCGTCGCTGCTGCATCTGCCCTTTGCCGCCGCGGAGCGCCGCGGCTGCATTGTGGTGGACGCGGTTTTTCCTTGCCCTACCCCGCCGCTGCCGTCGTCTTCGTTGTTCACGAGGAGCGATGGTTCAGGTTATCTTGGTTATGTTGTAATGTTTGTGCGTGTTTTTGTTCACCCTCTGCTCTTGGTGCGCCCAGGGCCCAGGGAATCTCTGGGGACCGAGGACCTTGTTGGCCGATAGTCGGCGTCGTCATCGCGAGGGAGTGGAGGAGGAGGAGTTGGAGGAGGAGGAGTTTGGAGGAGGAGGAGGAGGACGACGACGAGAAGGTGGAGGAGGAGGAGGAGGAGGTGGATCAAGGGAATTGTCCAATATGGACTCACTTCATATTGGATCCTGCATGAGCCGATCCCGGGTCGCCTCTTTGAGTAAGTAATCCCCGGACTGATCCCGCATTGACCCAGGAATGACCCTGGACTGACCTCGGACTGACCCCAGACTAATCCCACACTGACCCGGGACTGACTCTGGACTGACCAGGCTGAGCCCAGATCGACCAGCCCCGAACTGACCCCAGACCGACCCAGGACTGACCCGCGACTGATCCCACCCTGGCAAGACCCCGGACTGACCCTGGACTGGTTCCAGACTTACCCCAGATTGACCCCGGACTCACCCCAGATGGACCTTGGACTGACCCTGGACGGACCCCGGATTGGCCCCAGACAGTTCCCACACTGACCCGGGCACTGAGCCCGTGCATTGATGCATTGACCCCGGCACCAGCCCCAGATTGATTCCTGACCCCAGACTAACCCTGGACCCCCGACTGATCTCACACAGACCCGGGACTGACCCCGAACTAATCCCACACTGAAGTAGTGCGCATGAAGAGATTGGAGTTATGTTTCATTTGCGATATGAACTTAAGTACAACTTGCACAAGTGCAGCTGCACCCCTATAACTCAGCATGACATGTAGCAACTCGACTAACTCCAACAACTCAGATGTTGAAGCTGAGCTCGAACTTGTGCTCGAGTTTTAGGGGAGGTGCTTTTTGGCAGTCGGAGTTGTCGAAGTTATTTTTGCTCCTCCCCCCAGCGCCTTGCTTCGCTCCTCCCCCCGTCCAGCGCTTGTGCTGTTCGCTTTGCGCTGCTCCTCATCCCTCCTCCTCCCTCTAGCGCGCAGCGCTTCTGTTCCTGCACCATCCAGCGCTTCGCGCTCTTCCTGCTCCACTGCTCTGCGCTGTTCCTTCGAACGCGCAGCGCTGATGCTATTCCACTTCGTAGCCGTTCGGCTCGGTGGGGTCGCGGCGGCGCCGAGGGGTCGCGATGGCATGACGCCGAAGAGGCGGCGATCTCGATCGGTTCGTCGGGGGCGAGAAGCGGCGCAGAAACTCCCCCATCGTGGACACGTGACGCAGCAGGGGCTCGCGACCATGATCAAGCCGTTTCGCGAGGTGCAGGAGGTTATACCAGCCGAGAATGGCGCATGGAAGGTCCACCAAATCAACCGTGGAAGGCATGAATCCGTCCGCCACGCGCTGGTCATGCTGCTGGTGAACGGCGGAAGCTTGAACTGGCCCTTGGCGGAGCCCAACAGTCTGCTCACCCTGATGGTACCCAGCTGTGGAGGAGTTATTCGCCGTCGCGCTGTCGCGAAGTGGTGATCCGAGACAGGCGCGCCAATGGACTTTTGTTATCGGGCATGATGAGTTCAGCCCTGGCGGCATGTTCAACGTCGGCGACGACAGGGCCAGCATGAATTTATCGTTTACCATCCTGGAGGTAAGAGAGCATGACATTCGCAGTGGCAGCGCGTGGATGACACGGGTGATTGTTTGCCGCAGATGGTTCGCTCACGTCCAGTGCGACGGTTGCTCCATGTTTGCCATGCGTCTGAAGCTGTGCCCGCTGGGGCCGACTGGCTTTGCGACAGCAGGCGCCTCTGCGCATGCCAACGGCAGGGACGTGCTAATTTCCGCACGCCTCGAGTACATGATCGCCGGTCTCGATGGCCGGTGGGCAGCCCAGGTGCCAATGGTTTCAGGTCGTGTTTGCGACAATGCAACGCACTCGAGAATAATTGTAGCACAGCTGAGTTGGACCCAGCGTCTTTCGCTGAAGCTTCTTGTGCAGAGCCGACGCGGTTCCGGTAGCGCAGCCGCGCAGATGTGTTCGCTGCTGCCAATCTTCTCAGCGCGGCGCACGCCTGGTGGACCGCGGGGGCAATGCCAAAAGGTCGCTTTGAGTATTTGCTGATGACGTGCGGGCTCAGTTTCGCGCCCCGCGGCATTCTGATGGACCTTGACCTGTGCCGCCATGTGGTCGTAGTGGATAGCAGTGTCCTTGTTTGGGTTCACACGGCCTTGCAATATGACACATCCACCAGAGGTCTTTTTGTCTGTGCAAGCGAGCGGAGCGGGTCCCGATGTTCATTAGCGATCTCCGAGATTTCATCGCTCTCTTGGGGGGGATGCCCTGGTAGAGGACAGGATCACATGGGGATGCCCCGAGGAGGGGTACCCCGAAGGTTGCCTCGAGATCCCCTCGCTCCTGATCCCTCCCCCGCCTTTAGGGCACCGCTCCCTGGCACTGCCGCAATGCGTCTGTCACCAGTCTGGGGAAGGGGGGGGTATGGGGGGCGCTGCATCATGCCCTCCCCCCCCCGCCCCCCCCATCATGCCGTGATGGCATATGGCCGCGACTGATAAAATGCGCTGTTGTTGGGGGAAGTGCTTTCAAACTGGAGCGGAAGATTGGGGATACGTGGGGCGCCCCAGACAGAGTGGGCTTCACCTTTGAGGGTCGAAGGAGTTACCGCCTCGTCCTCGGCGGCAGGCCGCGAAAGGGCGGCGGGAAACGGCCGAATGAAAACGAGGCGACTTCCGCCGGCGGAAGCCGGCTGACGGCTGGCGGAAGCCTTGCCGCCTCAAGGATTCATCGGCCGCCCCCTTCCCGAGTTGGGTCGCACTAGTCAGCCTGACAGTGCGCGTTGGACTCCGTGCGCCATCTGTCAGTGCCACCGCAGTAATTATCCTGCAACGGCTCGACAACCCAGTGCGATACCGAGAATGATGTTGCGATCACCGAGGGCAGCCATTCCTTCGGCCGTGGTCCCCTTCGTCCTCTCACCCGTGGCCATCCATGTCTCTGCCGCTGTGGACAAGAACGCTCTTGCTTACGCAATCGACGGGGTGCAGTGGTTGATCGGGTACACGTTTGGGTTCTCGTGCGACGATGGGTATGGTGCACTGCTATTGTAGTGGCCTTCGGCCAGTGCCGCCGATCCGGGGCGCTCCGGGTGCTTGTGGAAATGAACGACGACGAGGAAGACGAAAACGACGACGAAAACGAATACGTCGACGACGACGACGAGAGCGACGACGACAACGACCACGACGACGACGACGACGGCGATGACGACGACGACGCGAGCGACGACGACGACGACGACGACGATGACGCGAGCGACGACGACGACGACGACGACGACGACGACGACGACGACGACGACGACGACGACGACGACGACGACGACGACGACGACGACGACGACGACGACGACGACGACGACGACGGGGGGGGAGCTGGGTTGCAGGGTGGGGCTGTCTGCTCTGCAGGGGGGGTCCGCTCG